GGTCCCATGGGAGTTTTAAGGAACCCTGTCTGGGTCGTATGGGAGTCCTATGAAACCCTGTAGGGGTCCTATGGGCCTCCCATGGAACCCTGTAGGGGTCCTATAGGAGTCCGAAGGAACCCTGTACGGGTCCTATGGGCACCCGATGGATCCCTGTAGGGGTCCTATGGGAGTCCGATGGAACCCTGTACGGGTCCTAAGAGAATCCGATGGAACCCTGTAGGGGTCGTATGGGAGTCCGATGGAACCCTGTACGGGTCCTATGGGGGTCCCATGGAACCCTGTCCGGGTCCTATGGGAACCCGATGGAACCCTGTACGGGTCCTATGGGAACCCGATGGATCCCTGTAGGGGTCCTATGGGAGTCCTATGAAGCCCTGTAGGGGTCCTATGGGAGTCCTATGGAACCCTGTCGGGGTTCCATGGGAGTCTTCAGGAACCCTGTCTGGGTCGTATGGGAGTCCTATGAAACCCTGTAGGGGTCCTATGGGAGTCCCATGGAACCCTGTAGGGGTCCTATAGGAGTCCAATGGAACCCTACACGGGTCCTATGGGAATCCGATGGAACCCTGTAGGGGTCCTATGGGGGTCCGATCCAACCCTGTGCGGCTCCTACAAAAGTCCAATGGAACCCTGTACGGGTCCTATAGGAATCCTATGGAACCGTGTAGGGGTCCTATAGGAATCCTATGGAACCCTGTAGGGGTCCTGTGGGAGCCCTATAGAACCCTGCACGGGTCCCTGTACGCCCCGCGGGGGGGCGCGCGGGAGATCCCCCCCCCGCCCAACCCCCGACACCCGCGTTGCGTTGGCGTTTGCGCTGCCGTTGCGCGGGGGGGGGGGGGGGGGGGGTGGGGGGGTCCGGTCCGCCAGCTAGTGGTTTCGTCAACAACAACAACAACAACAACAACAACAACAACAATCATTTAAGACTGGGGACACTCCGTTCTCACCAGTGCCAGGGTTTTCATAGGAGGCGGGCAATGCCCCCACTTTGTGGGGGGGCCGGTTCAAGCTCTACCAAGTTTAGGACGACTCTTCGCCACCACCCACACCCAGCTTCCCGCCCTATGACGTTCGGACACTTCACTTCGTGGCATGCGGACGACCGTGGCTACTTTTCAGGGCCCCGCGGCCGACGACGACGGCGTGCGCGCGCGAAGAAAAAACGAATGTGTCCCGCAGGGGATTATTTGACAGGGATGATGGCCCTGGCAGGTGCGCAACCGTTGTCGCAGAAGTTCGAAAAAGTTGCTCGCAAAAGCCCGTTTGACAGAAATGTTTAAAAAGTGTGGGGTTTCCTACGAATCCGCAAGAGCGCGCGGGATGAGATTTTGACAATTTTTTGTTGAAAAACCATTGGTTTTTTGATGTTTTTATGTTAAAATCGCTGCGAACACTAAGGTTTTGGAAGGATTTCGTCTTGCGCGCGCGAATGTCCACTTTACCTTATTTTTTGCCAGGGATTCTTGAAGTTTGGTTATGTTAGAACAAGAAATGTCCACTTTGCCTTATTTTTTGCAAGGGAAAACCGCCCGTAACAAAACAACCGGATCTGGATCACATCGTTTTGCCTGAGACTTCCTCACGAAAATGATGAAAATGTGCTGCGGCCTAGGCGCGGCGAGGGGGCCGCGCACCAGGGGCCCCAACAATAATTATTCTTTAGAATAAATAATGTTCAACAACAACAGCACAGCAGCAGCAGCAGCACAGCAGCCGCAGCAACAACAACAAAACAACAACGAACAACAACACACAACAACCATTCTAAGGCTGTACGCTCTACTTGCCCGCGAGTCATTCAACACGTATACCCTACACCCTCGATACCCGCCCTCTTCGTCTTCGATCACAACCCTTTCGGGGGGATTATTTCTCTTTGCTGGGGCCGGCGGGCTTAGACGTACGGGCAAACCGGAACGGGCGGACAATCCTTCGGGGGCGTACATCTCTCTGCCCGCCATTGGAATTGGCGCGGGCCCTGCAAGAGGAGGAGGGGAAGAACGAGGGAGAGTGGGAGGAAGGGGAGGGGGAAGGACGAAGGAAGAGGGAATATACCACGTTGTGAAGGCGTCCTTGGCGCGTGCGTGGTTCCTGAGCGCCGAAACGCAATTCCAGAATAATTTGTGAGGACGTCGCACGCGAGAGCGCAGTCCTGAGTACATTGTGAGGAAATCTCGGGCGGAAGCGGGGGCCCTGACTAAGTTGCGAGGAAGTCTCAAGCAGGAGCGCCGTTCCTGAGCAAATTGCACGGAAGTCTCAGGCGGGAGCGGGGGTCCTCACTAAATTGCAAGGAAGTCTCAGGCGGGAGCGCCGTTCCTGAGTCAATTGCGCGGAAATGTCAAGCAGGAGCGGGGGTCCTGAGTAAAATTCGAAAAAGTCTCAGGCGGGAGCGCCGTTCCCACGTAAATTGCACGGAAGTCTCAGGCGGGAGCGGGGGTCTTGATTACATTGCGAGGAAGTCTCAGACGGGAGCGCCTTTCCTGAGTAAATTGCGCGGAAGTCTCAGGCGGGAGCGGGGGTCCTGAGTAAAAATCGAGGAAGTCTCAGGCGGGAGCCGTTGTTGTTGTAGCCCGGGGGGCAGGGGCACAGTTTGAGCAGGAAGACTTTCCTTGAGAAAAAACAAGGTGCGAGCCCCAGGGGTGGCACTTCAATTGAAAAAAATCAATGTGCACCGGTGGGGGGGGATCAACAATAATTATTCTTCAAGAATGAGAGTTCAACAACAACGACAACAACAGCAACAGCATCAACAACAACGACAACGACAACGACGACGACGACAACAGCAACAGCACTAACAACATGAGCAACACCACCAACAACAACAACGACAACGACAACGACACCAACATCAACAACAGCAGCAACAACGACAACAACAATCAATTAAGACTGTTCGCTCATCTGCTCGCGTGCCATTCAACACGTGTATCCAGAAACATCGATACCCGTCCTCTTCGACCTCGATCGTACCCCCTTAGGGGAAGATGTTTCTTACCTGCAACGTGTATTTCGTGCAGCCCCGAAGGCAGGAGAAGAGAGGACGGATGGAAGGAAGGGACAAGAGGGAGGGAGGAGGATGGAGAACGAGAGAAGCAGGAGGGGGGCTACGAGCAGAAAAGTCGTGGCAAAACCAGGCGGGCAGATCGGGCGGGTAGACCCTAGCCGGTGATTCTGGAAAGCGGGCCCAGGCGGCAAGGTCGAGCAGGCGGGTTTCTGAAGCGTGCATCCTGGATGAATCGCGAGGAAGTCTCGAGCGATTCCGCGACTAGTGTGCGAGCCCGGGGAGAAGCACTCAAATCGGAAAAACACATTGGTTACCAGAGGGGGGGATCAACAATGACTATTTTGGGACTGACAGTTCAACAAGAACAGCAGCAACAACAACAATCAATTAAGACTGTTCGCTCTTATCTGCTCGCGTGCCATTCAACACGTACATCCAAAACCCTCGATACCCGTCCTCTTCGTCTGCGACCGTACCCCCTTAGGGGTATATATTTCTTACCTGCAGCGTGTATTTCGTGCAGCCCAGAAGGCAGGGGAAGAGAGGACGGATGGAAGGATGGAACAAGGGGCAGACGGGTTGCTGAAGCGTGCGTCCTGCATGAATCGCGAGGAAGTTTCGACCGATATCCCGATTCCCAAGTAAATCGTGACAAAACCAGAGCGAGAGCTTGATTCCTGAACGCCGAGGGCGCGGCGTCTGAATAAATTGCGACAATGTCCCACGCGAGAGCGCGATTCCTACATACATTGTGAGGAAATCCCGCCGAGAGCACGATTTTGAAATAAATTGTGAGGAAATGATCAGGCGGGAGTAATAGTTGTTTGTACATTTTTAAACCAAAGGCCAGGGGCCCAGTCTGGGGAAACCTCACTTTCCCTTGAGAAACATAGTGCGAGTCCCTGTAGAAGCACTTGAATTGAAAAATTCAATGGCTACGGGGCAAGGGGGGTCAACAATGACTATTCTCTAGAAATGGGAACCCAAGAACAACACCATCAACAACACACGCGACCAGAAAACAAGGCGCACGTGGTTGATAGAAGAAGAAAAAACGCCATAGCCATAAACTTTGAGCGCTCCGCGCGGATTTCCTGGAGCTGCGCTGGACCCACCTCCCTGGCGCGCGGAGCGCGCCAGGGGCGGCGCCGGAGGCGCCACCGGGGGGCGCACGTGGCTGAGGGCGACGGGCTCACGCGAAAGCCAGTGCGGGGGGGGTCCCAGCGCGGATCCAAGAAATCCGCGCGGAGCGCCAAGAGTTTATGTTTATGGCGTCTTTCTTCTTCGAACCAAGGCGCACGTGGCTGATCGGGGGCGCGCGAACATGGATTAGCAATCCACGGATTTGGCGCGCGGTCGCCACATCCATGGATCGGGGGAGGCGCCGTCCCCAAAGTGTTAGGTCGGGCATGTCCACCTACAGGCGGATCTCGGGCGAAAATCTGAAAACCATCAAATTGTTTCAACAATATTTTCAAAAATCGTCGCAAAATCGTCCCCACATTATCTATTTGATCATTTTTGAATACCAAAATGCTGCCGGTCCAGCCTCGCTCGGCGGCGGAAACCCGCGCTGTCCCATGGAAGCGGGACACGTCGCGAATCCACGCCCCCTTGATCCATGTTTGCGATCGCCTGAGTTGAGGGGGGCGGCCGAGGTCGAGCCCGTGGGATTGTTTGGGTGACCCAAAAGGGGGTCCAGCTGAAAGGGAGTGGCGCAATAGATTTGGGGCAATTGTATCGCAAATGTACTGCGCCAGAGAATCGTATTGCATTGTATTGCTAGTAATCTAGCGCACGCGAAAATCTAACAATACATTTGCGCCCTGGAATGTACTGCACGCCCAAAATGTATTGCAACCCCACAAGTCTATTGCACCAAACCTATTGCACCACCCCCTTGTCGCTGGACCCCCTTTCGGGTCAACCCAAGATTGGACGCCCGAAATGGGTACGAAGCAAACGGGTGCGATGCCCAACGACAAGTGCTGTCCAACACCGGCAGCGGCCGCTGCATGCCGGCGAGCTTGTGTCTCAAAGGAACCACAGCCCCCGCGACGCCGACAGCGAATCCTGTTCAGAGGGCGACGGGCTCACGCGGAAGCCCGCGCCGGGCGCCCGTCCTCTGCGAGGCTGCGCCGCCAGCGCCGCCAGGGGCACGCCCCTCCGGCGGCCGCCGCTCCGCGACCTCGAGCACGTCCGGCAGCGCCTGTACCTCGGCTCGGGAAGAAGTCAAGGCTTATGTTGCTCCCATCGTACTTCCCAGAAAGAAATTCCAGCACCCAGAGGAGTATCGAAAAAGTGTCGAACGAGTATCGCACCTCGGCTCGGGAAGAAGTCAAGACTGGGACGAAAGATCGGAGTCAAGACTGGGACGAAAGATCGGGCCAGGACGAATCAGGGATCTCTGATACTAGTAGAAGAAAGACCGGCATAAACATAAACTTTGGGCGCTCCGCCCGGATTTCTTGGATTTGCGCTGGACCCCCCCCTCCCTGGCGCGCGGAGCGCGCCAGGGGCGGCGCCGGAGGCGCCGCTGGGGGGGGCCCAGCGCAGATGCAAGAAATGCGCACGGAGCACCAAAAGTTTATGTTTATGGCGTTGTTTCTTTTTCGAGAGAGATCCAAAGGTTCTGAAAGCTGTATCGGCCCCCGCGGCAATTGCAAAGCGTTCCGGAACGCCCTGGAACGACTTATCCCAGTGTGACCTTTTGCGTCCTTTCCCGGGTAACGGGCGTTACCCAAGAGGGAATGGGGAGGAGGTTCGGGAGGGTAACGGTGATGGCGGCCGCGGCGTGCACCCGCCAGGGTGCGTCAGCGCCGCCAGCGCATCAATCGCCTGTGTGCACCACGGCATGTACGGGGGGGTCCAGGCCCCCGACCACCCCCCCAGTACGCTCGTTAGCGTTAGGGGGGGAGGGGCCTGGGCAACTAACGTTAGGTCGGGCATTTCCCCTTACAGGCGGATTTGAGGAGAAACTCAAAAATGCCCCCCCCCCCCCCCAAAAAAAAGCGGTCAAAAATGGTCCAAGAGTAATCGGAAAATCGTCCCCAGACGATTCATTGACAATTCTCGAATATCCCTCTTGTAGAGGGACGTGCCCGACTTGACGTTCCCCTGGCGAAGAGAAACAAAAAAAAGAAAACGCTCGCGGTCCGCCGCCGCCAGGCGCTTTGCTGTGGCCCGGCGCTGCCGCCGGCGCCGGCGCTCGGGGATTTGTTGCCCGGGGCCGGTCCAGACCCGGGTCAGCCAGGCCTTGCAGAATCCTGCGATCTCCTGCAAGCTCCTGCACCCAAGCCCGAGTGAACGCGAATGATCCTGCAAAATCCAACAGGACCCTGCAAGAGATCCTGCGCCCAAGCCCGGGGCACTGCGAATGATCCCGCAAGATCCTGCAGGATCCCGCACCCGAGCCCGGGTCAATGCGGCCCCTGGCCCTGCAGGATCTGGCCAGATCGGGCGCTCTGGCTGACCCCCGTCTGCATCGACCCCCGCCTCTTGAGCCCAGAGCCGCCCTCTGGGCACTCCCTCCAGGCCGCCACCGGGGGAGCGGCACCCTCCTCGCCACGGGTCTGCCATCGCTCGGACGTCGTGTGTGTGTGCGTTTCTGCTGCAAGATGATCCAGGAAGCTCCCAGATGGTCCTCGCCAAGGACAGAATCCACACGCCCGAGCGATGCCAAGGCCGCGGGGGGAATGGCCCCACGAGCTCCCGAGTACCCAGCGGAGGGACCCTCCAGTTGGCCCCCGATGCAAGCCGCCCTAGACGTCCTCCTCGCGACGAGGGCCGTGCCTCGCAGGCTCAGGGTCCCGCTGCGCCACCTCCCAGGGAGGCCCCGCACGAAAGCCCAGTGGGGGGTCACTGAGGCCTGTGGGAAGCACTCGCGGGCTCCCTGGGGACGCACAGAGACATACTAGTACTATAAATGCTTCTTGGAGGCGCGCGCCCGACCCGAACATCTAGTATACCCATCTTGTAGTGTATCGTTTTCCGAGCGGTGTGGTCATAAAGCGCCCGCCACGACCCGTATACAACAAAATGCCTCGGTGCGCGCGTCGCCCTGGGGGGGCGACGCACACATAGTATTAGTATGTTGGGGTGACGCCGATCCCTGGATGCACCCTTGAAGCTCTGAAAGCTTCCATCGGGGGCGGCCAAGAGGGGGGGGGCGCAAATCATGGCCGGCGGCGTGTGCGCGGCCTGGAGGGGGGGGGGGACGTATTGAAATGAGAGGAGGCGCCATGAAATCTGAGGAAACATCATGGCCCCCGCCATGATATCCACACACCCCTAATCATTACCCCCCTCTTGGCCGCCCCCGAAGTGTGTTGGGGTGACGCCGATCCCTGGATGCACCCAGAAGCTCTGAAAGCTTCCAGCAGGAAGCCACCCGCCTCGCCACGGAAGCAGCCTTAGGTCGGGCGGATTTAGGAAGGAAAACGGAGAGAAACAACAAAACAAAACAAAAACTAAACATCCCATCCTATTTGACTATTTTTGAATCTTCCTCCTGAAGAGGGACATGCCCGACGTAAAAGCAGCCCTCGCAGGCCCACCTGGAGACCCCTTGGAGAGACTCCATGGAGGCCCCAGGAGGCCCTCGGGGGCTCCTGGAGGCTCCCCGCAAGCACTGGATTGGCGGCGAGCGAGGGGGGGAAGTGAGAAGGAGAGGAACGAGTAATGGCGTAAACATAAAAACTCTGAGGTCCAGGCGGATTTCTCGGATCGGCGCTCGACCCCCCTACCTGGCGCGCGGAGCGCGCCAGGGGCGGCACCGGAGGCGCCGCCAGGGGGCCCCAGCGCCGATCCGAGAAATCCGCGCGGACCTCCGAGTTGTTATGTTTATGTCATTGTTCGTTCCCTAGAGAAGGCCTTAGAAGGCGGCGGGACTTCTCAGAAGCCCTCGCGCCTTCTGAGAGCTTGTTTATGTCTCCGGGGAAGGCTTAGAAATCTTCTCAGAAGGCCGGGGAGCTTCCGAGACTTCTGAGAAGGCCTTCTCCTTCTCACTTCCACCCCTCGCTCCCACCCGCCGCCGACTGGAGGCTCCCGCAAGCACTGGAAGCAGCCGAAAGCACCTGAGACGTGCAGGTGGAAGCCCCCTGAAGTCCGTGGAGCTCCCGGGCGGGCTCCGTTCTGCCCTCCGAGAGGGCCCTGGAGGCCCCAGGAGGCCTCCATGAGGCTCCCGAAGCCCCCACGGAGGCCCCGCGGGCCTTTCGTGAAAGAGGTCGGCAGCTCCACGCCGCGAGCCGCCCTGATGCCATGATACGATGGGCCGCTCTTCCGCCACCACTGCCACAGGCAGGAGAGGGGGAGCAGGAGGAAGAAGAGGAGCCTCGCTCGCTCGCTGACTGCGTCTGGCCCCAGGGGTCAAGGTGGTGGAAAATTGGCCCATCATGCTGGGTAGTCGAAGCCAATCTGGCGCCAATCTGGCAGGCCCAGTCTGGCACACGGGGGCAATCTGGCGAGGGAGCCAGCGCGAGTCCAGTCTGGCGAATGACCCAGATCACCCAACATGGCCAGGCCAGATTGGCCCTTGGGGCCCAATCCAGTCTGACAGTCTGGCCTTCGACTACCCAGTCAGGATGCCAGCCGCCGCGGCGAACATCCAGCGGCAGGCGACGGCCACGGCGCACAGCAAGCTCAGGCGGCGGCACGCGGGGGGCGGCAGCGCCCCCGCGAGTCGCGGCACCAGGAAGCCGTCCGCGCCGCCGGCGTCCAGGGCGAGGCAGTGCAGGATCCCCGCGTGCACCAGCCACACCTCCTCGGCACGGCCGTCCTGCGGGCGCCGGGTCGGCTCCGGAGCTGGAGTCAGGTCGGGCATGTCCTCCCACAGGCTGATGATCGAAGGCAACAACACAACAAAAAAAAAGATAATAAAAGATAGAAAGATCGTTCCCTGACTATTTCTGACTGCTTTTGAATATTCCTCCTGTAGAGGGACATGCCCGACTGAAGGCTGCACGCAGGCTGAGCGACTCTCTCCCTTTCCCCAGCTCCGTCTCCTGTCCGCTTCCTCCATCACTGCCCCCTTACCCCACAGCCCCAGCCCTGACCCCATCCACGCCACCCGACACGGCCGCGGTCGCGGCCGCGGCCACGGCCATGGATGGAAAAAGCAGCGAGGAGGAGGGACGAGGGGGACGAGGAAGAGAGGGGGGGGAGGGCAGAAGGCACGGAGGCCCCTTGCGTCCGGGGGGGGCTGCCGGACGAAAATCGGGAGCGGCCAAACAGGGGGCGTCCAAGAGGGGGGGCAAATCATGGCCGGCGGCATGTGCGCGGCCCAGGGGGGGGGCCGGGGACGCATTGAAGCAAGAAGCGGCGCCAGGAAATCTGGGGACATATCATGGACCCCGCCATGATATCCCCCCCCCCAGCCATCACCCCCCTCTTGGCCGCCCCCGATGCTGGATCGAGGTGACGACGCGGCGGAGACCGTCGAAAGGCACCTCGCGGCCCGGTGGAGCCGGGAGCTGAGCGTGGCCCTCCACTGGGCCACCCGCGGCTTCGGACCGCACTGGACGCGGACCGCGCCGGCAGGGCGGCCGAGCTACGCGCCGCCGCGGCGGCGTCGTGGGTGAGGCTGGCGCGCCGGGTCGCTTGTTCTGCTCGTGTGCTTCCTCGTCTCGGTGCTCGTGGAACTCAGGGCCCGCGCGTGCAGGCGCACGCTCCACAGACCGCTTGAGGGCCCGCAGGAGGGGGAGGAGGAGAAGGAGGAGGAGGAGGAGGAGGAGGAGGACGAGGAGGATGAGGAAGGGAGATGGGGAGAGAAGGAGGAGGAGAAGGAGGAGGAAGAGGTAGGATGTTGGAGCAGGAGAAGGAGGAAGGAGGAGGAGGAAGAGGAGGAAGAAGAGAGGAGGGCGGAGGATTGAAGAGGAGGAGGACATGCGAGGAGAGGCGGAGGAGGAGGAGTGCGTTATTTGCGGAGGCGGAGGACGAGAGAGGACGAGAGAAGGAGGAGGTAGAGTAGAGTAGGTGAGAGTAGGAGGAGGAGGAGGAGGAGGAGGAGGAGGAGGAGGAGAGAGGACCTCCAAGTTTTATGTTTATGTCATTGTTCGTTCCTTAGGGGGCCACATGTGGCCTCCTATTCCTCTAACGGTGGAGTCGAGCAGCCAGCGGCGCACGTGCGTCACAGGCCCCCTGGCTACCGCGATACCCGTCGCCGCTGGACGGAGCGGTTGCGCCACAGGCCAGCCGCGACGTGCGGCCGCCTCGCCGGACCCGACGGCACGGAGGCAGCGCACGACTCTGCTGATCTCCTCCTCCTCCTCCTCCTCCTCCTCCCCCCTCCTCCTCCACCTCCCCGCTCCACCACCTCCTCCTTCCTCCTCCTCCTCCTCCTCCTCCCTCCTCCTCCTCCTCCTCTCCGTCCTCCACCACCACCTCCCTCCTCCACACTCCTGCTCCTCCCCTCCCCTCCTCCCCCTAACCTCCACCACCTCCTCCACCTCGCTCCTCCTCCCTCCTCCTCCTCCTCCTCCTCCTCCTTCCTCCTCCTTCTCCTCGTCCTCCCCCCTCCACCACCACCTCCACCTCCCCCTCCACCCCTCCTCCTCCACCTCCTCCCCCTACCTCCTCCTCCTCCTCCTCCTCCACCTCACTCCTCCTCCTCCTCACTCCTCCTCCCTCCTCCTCCTCCTCCTCCTCCTCCTCCTCCAACCTCCTCCTCCTCCTCCTCCTCCTCCCTCCTCCTCCTCACTACCTCCCTCCTCCTCCTCCTCCTCTCCTCCTCCTCCACCTCCACCTCCGCCTCCTCCACCCCTCCCTCCTCCTCCTCCACCACCTCCACCTCCACCACCTCCTCCTCCTCCTCCCTCCACCTCCTCCTCCTCCTCCTCCTCCACCACCCCCACCTCCGCTCCTCCCCCTCCTCCTCCTCCCCCATCCTCCTCCAGCTCCTCGTCCTCGCCCCTCCTCATCCTCCTCCTCCCTCCACCTCCTCCTCCTCCTCCTCCTCCTCCTCCTCCATCCTCCTCCTCCTCCTCCTCCTCCTCCTCCTCCTCCTCCTCCTCCTTCTCCTCCGCCCCCCTCCTCTTCCTCCACCTCTTCCTGCTGATTGCAGGCCAGTGCACGTTTTGTCTTACGTCGTGCGTGAACTTCCTGCGCTTCCTATGTTAGGGGAACGGAAAATTGCATAAACATAATAACTCGGAGGTCCGCGCGGATTTCTCGGATCGGCGCTGGGGCCCCCTGGCGGCGCCTCCGGCGCCGCCCCTGGCGCGCTCCGCGCGCCAGGTAGGGGGGTCCAGCGGGGAGCGCGGGGAGCGGGGGAGCGCGGGGGGGAGCGCGGGGGGGAGCGGGGAGCGCGGCGAGCGGGGGAGCGCGGCGAGCGGGGAAGGCTTCACGCAGCGAAGCGGGAAACGAGAAACAGGGTCTACCCTGCAGCATGGCTTGAGTAGGGCTGGGGGGTCACGTCTGCAGAACCCTCCAAACGGACGTCAAGGCGCATCCAACCTGTCCGGTCAAGCTGAAACTGATGCACCACACCTGGCGTCAAGCAAACACTTCGGACCCATTGCGAAGCGCATGGCGGGATTTTGCGCATCTTCGTGGACTTAACCGGTGAGGCGTTTGACCACCTCACGTCCCCTTTTTGGTGGCGGCTGCCTCCGATCCCATTCGATGCGATCTGATTCGCCCGCTGGGGCCGCGGTTCCGATTCGATCCGACTCGGTTCGATTCACAGGCATCGGCTGGGGTCTGCCGGAGCGGGGGAAAGCGCGGCAATCCGATTTCGATACGATTCGGGACGATCCGCTGGCGATCCGATCCGATTTCGCGACCCGATCCGATTTCGCGATTCGATCCAGCTCAGATCTGGCGCTCTCTGACCCTCGGCCCCATTCAAAGCATGGCATTAGGTCGGACATGTCCCTTTACAGGCGGACTTTGGAAGAAAAACAATAAATATTCGAAGCATGCTCAAATAATAGCCAAACCAACAGAAAATACTTAGAACCGTTCCCTGACTATTTTTTGACTATGGCCCCACTCATAACCTTGGCCTTCCCCTTGACGACAGCACCCCCATCGGCTTCCTCGACCGCGCACGCCGCGGCGGCCCGCACGTCCCGCAGCAGTCCTGGCAGCGCTCCTCGGGGGTACCCCCCCCTGCCGAAAAACTCATCCTCGCCCGGTTCCTGCCCCTTGCCTTGCTCCTCCTCCCTCCTCCTCGCTCCCTCCTCCTCCTCCTCCTCCTCCTCCTCCTACTCCTCCTCCTCCTCCTCCTCCTCCTCCTCCTCCTCCTCCCCCTCCTCCGCCTCCTCCGCCTAATCCTCCTCCTCCTCCTCGTTCTCCTCCTCCTCCTCCTCCTCCTCCTCCTCCTCCTCCTCCTCCTCCGCCTCCTCCTCCTCCTCCTAGGAGGGGGACGTGGAGGAGCTCAGGGATCAGAGGAGAGGTTTCCCGTACGTGTTGGGGTTCCAGTTTCGACGTGCACCAATTGCTCTGAGGCCCCCAGGATTAGGACTAGACCAAGCACTGTGTTGGTCGCGTGATGGACAGCCCAAGGTGGATGCCATGCAATGTGAAGTTCTCCACGACGGCAGTGTTTTTAAACCTGGCCCTACGGTCTTTGACGCCCCTGCCTGGTCCGTTGTTAAAATCGACGACGAGGGCGACCTAGTTGCCTGTCTCTCGGGGCCCGTGGGGGCCAGTCTTCCCCCCACGTCGCCCGCTGCCGAGCATTTAGGATTTCTGGCTGCCGTCTCCTGCCCAAGAGTCACTAAAGCGTGGACCGATGTTTAAAAGCATCCTCTCGGTTCACCAGAGCCCCGAGGTCAGTAGGAAAGAAATGTATGCAGGAGTGTCTGTCTTGGCCAGGGCCCAGGCCAGTCTCAGGTCCCTCGAGATAGCCAAAGTAAAGGCTCACCAGGATCTCTCGACCCTGGAGGCTGGCTCGAGGGAGTGGTTTGTAGCCAAAGGAAACGACTGGCCGGATCGGGTTGCCAAACTAGCTGCTGCCCAGATTCCCGCCCCGTCCCAGATGGAGATTGAGTAGTATAAAGAAACCCGCAGTAGAGTACAGAGACTTTTGAAGTATGCAGCGGAGGCGCTCTCCCTGCGGCAGGCCCTCGCCCCGAGGACGGGGAAGAAGGCCTACGAGAAGCCTCCCCAGAGCCTCAACCCCCCTGTTGGAGCCGCGGGTGCGGTCAAAGACTGAACCCCACCCCCTCAGCCCCCTGAGGGTCTTCCTCGGCGGGCCCGCGCGGCCCGCCGTAACCCTCAGGTTTTGGCTCGCCACCAGTGGGGCTGGATCAACAACCACTGGCTGTGCTTAGCGTGTCACACTCGTGCCCGCACCGACAGCACCCGCCAAGCCCGTTCGCGAGAAGTGTGCCCTGGCAATTCTGCTGCGCTGTCCCAGTTAATTAGAGAGCCCAGGAAGCACCGACTGTTGATTTGCGATTATCACGATGTCGAGTCCTCTCTCATAATCTGCAAGAGGTGCGGCCGTTTTTCGGAGAGCAACCTCAAAGGACTCAGAGGTGAATGTAGTGAGCGCTTCAGAAGCAAGTTCTCTGAAGGTGCGTGGTCTCGGGTGTCAGGCGGCCGTCATCCGAAGGACAGTATGAAGGCCCGCCCCCGACTTTCCCAGCCCTTCCCTGCAGCCCAGCTCCTCAAGGAAGGGGCGGCGATGTAGGGTCGATGAAGGGCGTAAGGGGAGAGCGGATGTAATCCCAAGGTTTCGGTTAGGGTCGGGTCGGCCTAACCCTAGCCTTCCTCTTCAGCCTGTGATGGTCCTCCTCCTCCTCCTCCTCCTCCTCCTCCTCCTCGAACCGTCGCCTTCCAGGACTGGGGCTTTGGACCCTCCCTGGGCTCCCCGCGCCCGCAGGCACAGCCGGGCCCCGCGCCCAGCCACGAGCTGCAGCACGCGGCTCAGCGCGTCGCGCGAGGCGGCAGGCCTGGTGTCCCGCGGGGGGGGGTCAGCTTGCGGGAGGGGAGGAGGAGGAGGAGGAGGAGGAGGAGGAGGAGGAGGAGGAGGAGGAGGAAAAGAGGAGGAAAGGAGGAGGAGGAGGAGGAAAAGGAAGAGGAGGAGGAGGAGGAGGAGGAGGGAGGAGGAAAACGAAAAGGAGGACAGAGGAGGGAGAAGGGAGTAGGTGGGAGGGAAGGGGAAAAAGAAATGAGGAGGGGGAGGGAGGGAGGGAGGGAGGGAGGGAGCGATTAGTGGGAGTTAGAATTGTTTCTCCGCGGCACCCGCCACAGAACAACGACGACGACGTTGACTATGACTACAACTACGAATACAACTAAGACCGCGGCATGACGACGAATACGACTGCGATTGCGACTACAGCCACGACTACGGTTACGACTACGACAATCATCACGATTACAAGCTTGATTGCAACCACGACTAAAGTCACGACTACAAGCCACACCACTGAGTCCTACTGCAGTACTCATGAGAAGATGATCACGTATCTCTTCGCGTGTAGGATAGCCAGTCATACATTGCTCCCTAAGAGAAACAAAACCAACATGATCCAGTCCGCCCAACAATAGAGGGAAAATACTACCCGCCGCGGCGACGGCGACGACTACGATTACGACTACATTTATGACCACAACCACAACTACGATCACAGCTACAATCGCGACTACAATCACGATTCCAATCACGACTACACTCACGGCTACACTCGCTATAGCTGATTCATTTCGTATGCATGAGAAGGTGATCACGAATCCTCTCGCGTGTGGGGTATCCCAACACAGAGTGTAAGAAAAACAACAACAGTAGCAACAACAACAACAACAACAACAACAACAACAACAACAACAACAACAACAACATCAACATCAACAATAACAACAACACATGATCCAGCCCGCCCAACAGTAGAGGGATAATAATCTTTGCCGCGACGAGGACGACGACGACGACGACGAATACGATGGCGACCACGAGGAGGAGCAGGAGGAGGAGCAGGAGGGGCGAATCTACTCTAAGCCGAAAGAAACAGTAAGGGGGTCCTCAAAACTGAGGACCTCCTGTGATTATCCGCTGCCGCGCCGCAGACACGAATTAGAGTCCTAATATGACTCTCAACACTGACGACTGCTAATTCTCGAAACATACAAAAGAACGCCGCCCCCCCCCCCCCCCCAAAAAAAAAAAAAAAAAACTAGCCTCGAGTCAGGATAATTCCCTGGCGCTCTCGTGGTACGTCGCGCGGTTTTTCCCGTGAGGCTCTGGGCGCGCGGTTGGGAGGTCACGCTGCCCAAAAGCTGCAAGATGGCCCCAAACGACGGGAGTATTCCTGCCTATTGACCATCGCCTGAATCGCATGTCACCGCCCGCTTCCCCCCTCCCTTCTCTTCGCACCCCCCCATCCCTGCCCTCGCCCCATGACCTCCCTAACATTGGGGGCGGCCAAGAGGTGGGCGTCCAAGAGGGGGGGGCGCAAATCATGGCCAGCGGCATGTGCGCGGCCCAGGGGGGGGGCGGGGACGTATTGAAATACGAAGAGGCGCCGTGAAATCTGGGGAGATATCATGGCCCCCGCCATGTTATCCACCCCCCTAGTCATCACCCTCCTCTTTGCCGACCCCGATAACAAGGACCAGCACACCTCATGAGGGCATCGGCGATACATCGGCGATGCATCGGCGATGCACAGGCGATGCACCGTCGACGTGGGTGATGCATCGGCAACATCGGCGTGGAGGAAATTGGGCTCCACATCGAGCCGCATCGCCGATGCATCGTCGATGCGGCGCGATCCTCCGACCCCATCTACTCCGACCCCATCTGGGAGGCCCAGACATGACCAGCACACCTCAAGAAGGCATCCGGGGAGGCCAGGAGGCGCGTCCTGGCGCACCGCTGACGGGGACGGACGTCGAGCCGTCCAGGGCAGCGGGCGCAGCGCCCCCTCCCCAGCCCCCTGGGCATCGCACGGACGTCCATTCCCTGTGTTTTGTTTCGGTTTTCGTGCGTGGTTTTTTCGCCAAATCATCAGGGATGCTCCTCGATGGCCCTCGCCGAAGGAAAAATGCACACGTCCGAGCGATGCCAAGCCCCTCTCTGCGACCTGCCGAGCACACCTCAAGAGGGCGCCCAGGGCGGCCAGGAGGCGCCCTCCGGCGCACCGCGGACGGTGACCACCTGCCAGACCACACCAGCCCAACCCGAAGACCCGAACTTCGGGTGGGGGGGGGGGTATGAGCTCCATATGTGTGTTTTGCCGAGGCTCCCGGACCCTCCCCCCCCTGGAAATGGGGACAAACTCGGGCCTTCGGGCTTGGCTTTGGGGTGGCTTGCCGGGGTGTGAGGGACGGCCGCCGAGCCGTCCGAGGCAGCGGGCGCCGAGGTCCGCCGCGCCCGGCGAGGGCGCCGCCGCGCGGCGGGGCTCGGTGTCCCGAGCAGCTGGTCTTTGGGGGCCCTGAGACACACAAATAAATACACACAAATGGAAGAATTCCCCATATTTTACCATAGTTTCTGGGTTTCTGTCTTCCCCCCCACTTCCCATACTTTCCCGTACTTTCCTGGGAATCGACGATTACTTGTGTCTGTGTGTTTCTTTCCCAGCAGCTGGTCGGGGGGCGCCCAGCGCCGGGCCGCGCGCAGGGCGCCGGAGCCTGCAGGATCTCCTGCAGAGGCTCCCGCAGGCTCTTTTGGCGGCGCGCAAGAGGGGGTACAGTCGGGGCGTTGACCTAAGGAACCCTAAATAAGGAACGAGGCCCCTGTTTTCCATAAGTTAAACTTCGATTTGCTATCGCAAACCTAAGGAAAGCCCGAGGCAAGCTGTGAAACACTTCAGGAACGCGGAGCCCCTCCCCAACGAAAAGGGTTCCTTCTTCAGGGCCCCGACTGTAGGGGGAGGGGGGAAGGCTTCTTAGAAGCACCCCTGCTTCTTAGAAGGCCGCGGCCGAACGTCTATAGAGGAGGCCCGCGCCTTCCAAGAAGCAGGGGTGCTCTTCAGAAGCCTTCCCCCCTCCCCCTACCCCCCTCTGCGCGTCGCCGACCCTTGCTCGGGGGGGTTGGCGTCCGTCGGGGCTCAAGGGACAGGGGTGAATGCAAACGGGGGCTCGTCAGAACCCCGGATCCTGCAGGATCCTGCAGAGCCAGGGGTGCTCTGCCCCCAAGGTTTGGGTGCAGGAGCCGGCAGGATCTTGCATGATCTTTCAGGACTCTGCAAGGCCTGACTGGCCCAGATGTGGATGGGCCCGGGTCAGAAGATGCCCGAGGGCGTCAGGCGGGACGTTGTGTTCTTGGTCGACCTCCAGATCGCTGGGCCACCCCCGGGACGCGAAGATGATTGGCGGCGCGCAGAGGGGGGTAGGGGGAGGGGGGAAGGCTTCTTGGAGGCACCCCTGCTTCTTGGAAGGCGCGGGCCTTATCTCTAGATGTAAGGCCGGCGCCATCTAAGAAGCAGCCTCCTTCTAAGAAGCCTTCCACCCTCCCCCTACCCCCGTGTGCGTGCCGCCAGCAGCCGACTACCTCGCCGATGCTGGCTCGAGCCGATCCTGACCAAAGACTGGTGTATTAGAGGCCTCCTAAATGGGGTCGGAGTAGATGGGGCCAGAGGGTCGTACCGCATTGGCGATGCACCGGCGACGCTGGCGACGCATCGGCGACGTCGGCGTGAAGCAAATCGGGCTCCGCATCGAGCCGCATCGTCGATGCATCGGCGATGTGGCGCGATTCTCCGACCCCATCTACAGTCGGCCCGTATCATACGGATGCGCGGTAAGGATGCAAGGCCTTGGACGCCCATTTCGGGGCTTTTCGAGCGACGCGCGGCCAACCAAAGCGGCCAAGGATGGACCGAGGAGGCAAGGATGCAAGGGTACCTTGGGGAGGTTGCCCCTCCTTCCTACGCGGGTTGACTAAATTCCTGAGGCCAACATCTCTCACAAAAGCGATAGATCCGCACTCTTGAGACCGCGACGCCCTCTAAAAACGTAGATCTGCCAACCAATCAGAGAGCCATCCAACGAGCCAGGCAGCCTGCCAACCAACAAATCAATCAGCTGTACTACCTATTAACAAGGCAGTCGGACAACCAGTCAACCAGCAGACATGAAAACCACACAACTATTAGGCCGACCAATCAAACAACCCAAACAATCATTCAACCCAGCCATGCAGGCAGGCCATGCTGTGGCGGAAGGGGACGGAGCACATCAGATCAAAGTAATGGAATGTAAACGAGTTCGAACGCAATGCAGCACACAGCAATATAGCATATTGCGGCCAATAGCAGTGCACATTCAATCACAAACAAGGTCTAGGCAACGTGAAGAATGCAATGTACTGCAAATCGAAGCCATGCAAAACCAGACACGGTAGCTCGAGCGACAAAGATCGATGCCATGCAACTCGAAGCAGCGCAAAACAACGCAATGCGGTGCGAAGCCAAGTAAGGCAACGCTATAAGTGCAAACCACAGCACTGTCGTGCATTCAAGCAACGCAAAGCAAAACAAGGCCAGGTAAACCAGCTCAAAGCAAAGAGACGCATGGCAATAGACTGCTGAGCAACGCAATTCCCAGCAAGACCATGCAATGCAACACAAAGCGGTCAGATGTAAAGCGAAGCGAAGCGAAGCAAAGGCCAGCAAAGCAATGAAGGATCAGGTTCAGTCCCTAGATGGAATAAGAAAAGACCGAATGCCCCGAGAGCTCCCAGATGGCCCACAGACCAGGTGCAACCAGAGGATGGATCGGCCACTGGCCCTCGGGCGGAGTAGGAATCCCTTGGGCGAAGCCTGACTGGGATACTCAAATTCTGCACTCGTGTGGGGGGGGGGAACAAGGGCCGCCAAGGATCCTGGGCCTCCCATACCTGCCCCACCGCCTGCTCCCTGTGTCGGGGAACTCACAGCTCGAGGATCGGGTAGGATCCGCACTAGAAGTATCAGTCGAGTCTCTCTTCCGACATACCTCAGGCTGCCTCGGTCCTCTCTTGCGAGGCTTCTCGCTTCCTGACTGAAGCAGATAGGCAAACTCTGACAGGCGGCGCAGAGTGCGAAGGCGGCACTGCCTTCCCGCCGCGCAGGCCAAGGTGTATGTGAGCTGGTCCAAGACCACCTCTGGCACCACCTCTGGGGAACTGCCAACCGCACACCAGAACACATCCTGGCCAGGCACCTCCTGAGCCTCGGATCGGTGCATAACGAGGTCCCCTAGCCGACTCTGGGCTTCTTAACACGCGCGGGGATGTACCCCCCCGACGGGGGTCAACCTCGCCTCGTCGTCGCGCCGCGACGGGGGTCGGAGCGCCTTCGGCGCGCGGTGGCTGCCCGCGACGGGGGTCGCTGTGGGGCTGCCAGCGGGGATGCCGCCCCCCCGACGCTTGTTCAGAAACTCGGACCAGGCCAGGAGCCGAGCCTCCGCCGCCATGGCAGATGATGACGCCGAGACGCTGGGCACCCTCGACCGAATCTGCCTGCGAGGCTCTCTGCCACACCGGGTCGATCTGCCAGCCAGGGCAGGGCACCGAAGCACCGCCCGCTGTGATTTACCAGCCTCGACCGTATCCCTATCCCAGCATAGGGATAGGGATATGTTCCAGGCTGGTGAGCGATCTCGTCACGGCGCGGGTCGGGCTCGGACCGGGTTGCGCAGAAGCTACCAGCACACCACCCATGGGGCATACGCACTCCTGCCCCCTGGCCGACACCAGGAGGGCTCCTGAATGGGGCCCGCGTGGATGGGGTCGGAGGATCGCGAAGCATCGCCGATGCGTCGGCGGTGCATCGGCCTTGCATCGGCGACCTCGGCGATGCATCGGCGACGTCAGCGCGGAGAGAATCGGATCCACACCGAGCCGCATCGCCGACGCATCAGCGATGCGGCGCGATCCTCCGGCCCTTCTCTGCTCGGAACCCATCCGGGAGACCTTGCCGACACCGGGAGGGCCTGTCCTGGTCTACAGTGCAGGTCAGTCCACGAGAAGCCTTCCCACAGGAAGCCCAACCCTGAGACCCCAGGACGTCCGCTGATTTTTGGCGTGGGAGCGTCACGCTTTCCATCGCACAACCAGCGAAACCCAAGAAGCCCAGGGCACCCTGGAGGCCAGCAGGGTGTTTCCTTGGCATGGGCCCCCACTGTATGCCTGCTGCGGCCAGGCTCCCAGACCCCCGACGCCATGGTCCTTCATGACGCCTATCCCCACAGGCCCTCGGGCGGGTGGTCATGGGCGACTTCCTACCAGACCACCCCAACCCAACCCGAAGATCCGAATTTCGGGCTGGGGTGGGGGGTACGGGCTTCATGTATGTGTTTCTGCCCATATGTTCCCCGACACCCCCCCACTGGAAAGGGAGGGCAAATCGGGGCCGTCGGGTTGGGTTGGGCTGGTTTGGTGGGCGGTGAATGGCCGATGCATGTGGTGACCCAACTGGGGGGTGGAGAAAAGGGCCCTAGAGGAGCCCTTCAGGGCCCCTTTTGGATACCAACTGACCCCGCAAGGGGTCCCAAAGAGCCCCTTTACATCGGCCCAATGAAAGTTCCTGGAATTTTCATCACGACGCTGGCCGGCGGAAGTCGACGGAAGTAAAGCGAGGCGGAAGACGGGGGAAGGCCGCCGGAAGGCTTGCCAATGTCAGCGGAAGTAAACGACGCCCCTTCCGAACCCCCTACCCCCGTAGAAGCCTAGCAATGTTGTCTTCCTCCGTGGGCCGGGCGGGATCCCGCCTGGCTTATTCCGCTTTAATATTATAAATTTAGTTCAGGACGGTCCAAATCCCACCCATTAAAAATGGGGTAGACCAAAATCCCGGGCCGTTCACGGATCCCACCATGCTGGGATCGGCTCGAAGTAAGATGGGGCTCATAAGTTGCAGTATTACTGCCGTGTTGGGGTCGTCTTGAGGTCATCTTGAGATCATATCCCGGTCATGTTTGGATCACGCAACCATCGCGTGGTCATTATGAGGCCACCCTGGTGCGCTTGGATCCATCTTGTTGCCATCGGGCCATCTCGGCGTCACGCGTTGCTCATGTGTTTCGTCATCTGCGAGTCGGCCTGAGACGGTCCAGAATCCATGGCGGGATCGCGTTGGGGTGGCATCATCCTGGGTCCTCTTGACGTTATCGTCCGTGGCCTGAGGCATTCCTGGAAGCATGTTGTGGCCATGGAACGTCTTGGGATCGCGTGCGTGCGAACGCTGAGCACGCGCGCGCGACTCTTCATCTTGCCGACGGGTTTACATACATATCATTCCTCTTGCGAGTTTCCAAGAAAACTTTTGTTGGAGCCAAGTAGGGCCATGCTCTTCACCCTCCAGTTGGGTCACCCCTCACTACCACCCGCCCGAGGACTGGACCCATTCCCTGGGACCGGTGTCTCATCCTGTGTCGCCTTTGGACAGTCCCGAGGTGCGGCTCAGGGCTCCCAGAGGCCGAAAACAGCGAAAAACTCCCCATCTTGATTTTTTCATGAGCCGATCGGGGCGGACAAGAGGGGGGCGTCCAAGAGGAGGGACGCAAATCATGGCCGGCGGCATGTGCGCGTCCCAGGGAGGGGGGACTGGGGACGCAATGAAACAAGAAGAGGCGCCATGAAAGATGGGGAGATATCATGGCCCCCACCATGATATCCACCCCCCCTAGTCCTCACCCTCCTCTTTGCCGACCCCGATAACAAGGACCAGCACACCTCATGAGGGCATCGGCGATGCATCGGCGATGCATTCGCGATGCACCGGCGATGCACCGTCGACGTGGGTAATGCGTCGGCAACGTCGGCGTGGAGGAAATTGGGCCCCACATCGAGCCGCATCGCCGATGCATCGTCGATGCGGCGCGATCCTCCGACCCCATCTGCTCCGACCCCATCTACTCCGACCCCCGCCATGACATCCTACCCGTCATGACCCCCTCATGGCCGCCCCCGAGAGGGGGCCCTTGGGCTTGCGGCTGGCACACCCCGGGCACCTCGCCCTCCGCCTCCGGCCGCCCAGCCGGCGGCGCCCAGGGCAGGCGGGCTGCCAGGGCCGCCTGCCAGGCGAGGGTGCGCGGAGGCAGATGCCAAGGTCAGATCGGGCACGTCCCCCCACGGGCGGATTTTGGGCGAGAAGTGATAAATAGTAAATTAATACTGAGAAATATTCACACAAACAGGAAAACGACTATGCTTTGACTATGTTTGAATATTCCTCCTGTAGAGGGACGTGCCCGACTTAATGCCAAGGGCGCCTAACTCTGCGCTTAGCGCTTCGCGCTGCACGAAGCGCGAATTGCCAATAACTTCGCGCACTCGCGCCGCCCCCGAGGGGAGAGGAGGAGGAGGAGGAGGAGGAGGAGGAGGAGGAGGAGGAGGAAGAGGAGGAGGAGGAGGAGGAGGAGGAGGAGATCATCGCCCTCGGCCAGGGGGCGCGCGCATAGGGACCTAGGACCCGTGGCTCTGCAATATCCTGCGTGATCCTGCAGGATCCTCCTCCTCCTCCTCCTCCTCCTCCTCCTCCGCCTCCGCCTCCGCCTCCGCCTCCGCCTCCGCCTCCGCCTCCTCCTCCTCCTCCTCCTCCTCCTTCTCCTCCTCCGCCTCCTCCTCCTCCGAGGAGGAGGAGGAGAGGAGGAGGAGAAGGAGGAGGAGGACGACGACGAGGAGGAGCAGTAGGAAGAGCAGGAGGAGGAGGAGGAGCCGAACCGCGAAGCGCGAAGCGCGAGTAACCTCGCACCCTAGAGGGCGCCCTTGGACGCAGGAGGGCGGGCCTGGCCGCCACTTTCCCGCGGGCCCTCCCTGGCCTCCCTGGGCTTCCGCTCCCTCCCCGCTCCCGCCTCCTCCCGGCCAGACCGCCCCCCCCCCGCCCCACGGGCTATCCCAGCACGCAGCGGGCAAGCGCTGATATAGCTCGCTTCGTGCACCGATCAAAACCATCAGAGCTCTCAGATGTCACGTGTTGCACATATGCTTGGAAAAAGCTAGCGCGCGACGAATCCCATTAGCGAGCAGGTCAAGACCATGTGCTGAGTACCCCCCACTGGTATTACATCGCCAACATCTCTGGCGGCACGAACACTGAGTGCGCTCTGGCATCAAATTGCCCGCAGAACTCGGAATGCCGTCGGTAAGACGCAGCTCGGGGAACGGGCCGTAGTGACCTCGAGCCTCCCCTACCCCCCGTGAGCGGCAGCCGTCGAAAACCAGACCAGCTCCTCTATCTGGGGGAAGCCGATACCCATCGGTCGGAAAAATTAGGTAGAAACATGAAGTAGGAAGGCGTTGAAAGTAGATTGGGCCTCCGCCCGCCCCCTGAAGAGGGAAGAGGGGAAGCCACCTCGATCATCGAAGTAGGAAGGCGCTTACAGAGGACTGGAATCTGGGAATCCCAAAACTGCCTACGTTCAACGACCGATGGGTAACTACAGGCGGGGCTCGACCAGCCGGCGACAGGCCCCCGACAGGGACGCCGCACGCTCCCTGGCAGTGTGGAGCACCCCGGGCCCGCCGGCGAGGAATGGGCGACCGGGGGGTCGAGTCTTCCCCCCCTGGGCCAGCCCCACCCCCTGTTGATTACCGCGTGTGCGCAAGCCTTCCCCGACGAGGGCACCTCCTCCTCCCCTGCCTCCTCCTCGTACTCCTGCTTTTGGTTCGCCCTTCCTGCTCCTCCTCATCCTCCTCCTCCTTCAACCCTTGTCCCTGCTCATCCTCCTTCCCCTACCTCCCTCCCTCCCTCTCCTCCATCCCCTTCTGTCCTCTTCCTTATAAGCAACTCCTCCCTGTCGCACCCCGAGGCCGGTCGAAAGGGCGGGCCGGGCGCTTCGCCTGAGACTTCCTCACCACGCATGACCCTGATGCTGAAACCATGGACTAACAGTTTCACAGATGGAGGGCGGGTGGTTCGCAGAATGTGGCTCTCGCCTTCAGCGCCGCGCACATTCGTTGCAAAAGAATGCAAGGGCTTCACGGAGTGAGGGCGGCCCGTGTTCTACATGTGGCTCTCGCCTCACCGCCGCGCACATCCGTTTTACAAACTTGCATGAGCGTCACGGATTGAGGGCGGTTTGGTTTTTCAGAATGTGGCCCTCGCCGTAGCGCCGCGCACATTCGCTCTGATGTGCAAGAGCGTCACGGATTGAGGGCGGTCTGTTTTCGAAATGTGGCTCTCACCGTAGCGCCACGCACAGTCGCTTCAAACATTGGCAGAGCTTCACAGCTTGAGGGCGGTGGTTCGCAAAAGTTTCACGGATTGGGGTCGTGTGGTTTTCAAACTGTTGCTCTCGCCTTAGCGCCGCGCATTTTGCATGAGCTTCACGGATTGCAGGCGGTTTCTTTTCAAAATGTGGCTCTCGCCTTAGCCCTGCGCACATTCGTTTTGAACATGTGCGAGACTTTCACTTGTGTTGATGGTTACCGTACCACGAACGGCGTTGTGGAACGATTCAGGATTGTCAGGGTGCAACAGTTACGTCGATTCGCGGTGTTGAAATCCCAGGAATGGTGTTCTGGCACGTAACAGTCAGGCTAACTAGTGGAGTTAAAGTCCTGAGAACGGTGTTCTGGCACGCTTCAAGATGTTCACACGTTTGTCCCCCAATGGGGCAATTCCCTCAGTGGAAATGACCCCTTGCAGGGGCCTGAGAAGAGGAATCTTAGAGGGAAGGAGTACTTCAACATCGTTGATGAATCTTGGGTTTTCACTGGTCCTCGTCCTCATCCTCATCATCATCTTCCTCATCATCATCCTCTCAATCCTCATCCTCATGCTCATCCTCATCCTCATCATCACCACCACCATCATCAGCATCACCATCAGAATCATCATCATCAGCAGCAACATCATCATCAGCGCCACCATCATAAGTATCATCATCAGCAGCAGCATCAACATCACCGTCAGCATCATCATCATCATCATCAGCATCATCATCATCATCATCATCATCAGCATCATCATCATCATCATCATCATCATAAGTATCATCATCATGCTCATCGGCCTCATCCTCCTCATCATCATCCTCCTCATCCTCATCCTTCTCATCCTCATCATCATCATCCTCATCCTCATCCTCCTTCATTCATTCTCCTTATAAACGAATTATCCCTGTCGCACCCCGAGGTTAGTTTTTGAGCGGGCCAGGCGTTTCTCATGGGACTTCCTCATCATGTATGACCCTGAAGTTTACAACATGGCAACAGTTTCACGAATGGAGGGCGGGCTGGTTTCAACATGTGGCTCTCGCCTTGGCCCTGCGCGCATTTGTTGTTAGCATCTACAGAGTTTCACAAAAGGAGGGCGGGTCAATCTCAAAAAATAACTCTCGCCTTAGCGCCGCGCACATGCGTTGTAACAAATGCAAGAGTTACACGGAGTGAGGGCGACCCGTTCTCTAAATGTGGCTCTCGCCTCAGCGCCGCGCACATCCGTTTTACAAACTTGCAAGAGCGTCACGGATTGAGGGCGGCTTGTTTTCAACATGTGGTCCTGGCGTTAGCGCCGCGCACATCCGTTCTGAAAATGTGCAAGAGCTTCACGGATTGAGTGCACTTTGTTTTCAACATGTGGCTCTCGCCTTAGCGCCGCGCACATTCATTCTGAACATTTGCAAGAGTTCCATGGATTCCAATGGTCAACGTAACATAAATGGTGTGGGTGCAACAGGTACATTGGTTCGTGGTGTGGAAGTCCCAGGAATGGCGTTCTGGCACGATTCAGGATCGCCAAGGCGCAACAGTCAGGTTGATCCGTGGTGTTGGAACCCCGAGAGCAATGTTTTGGCATGCTTCAGGGCCTTCTAACGGTTGCCTTCCAAAAAGGCAGTTCCCCTTGGAAGTGAACCGTTGAAGGACCTATGATGAGGGAGTTTGGAAGGATGGTCTACTCCAACCTTGTTGGTGACTCTTGGGTTTACACTGATCCACCTCCTCCACCTCCTCCTCCTCCTCCCTCTCCCCCATCCCGCCCTCCCTCCCTCCCTCCCCTCCCCTCCCCTCCTCTCCCCTCCCTCCCCTCCCTAACCCCCCTCCCCTCCCCTTCCTCCCTTCCCTCCCCTCCCCTCCCTGCCCCGCGCGGCCGCCAAAACGCTGGGAGGGGCCTGCGGAGCCGCGCCCGCCGGCGCCGCGCGCGGGCTGGGCAGGCTCCGGCGGCCGAGCACGCTGCGGCGGTACACGATCATCGCCCTCGGCCAGGGGGCGCGCGCATAGGCGAGGAGGAGGAGGAGGAGGAGGAGGAGGAAGAGGAGGAGGAGGAGGAGGAGGAGGAGGAGATCATCGCCCTCGGCCAGGGGGCGCGCGCATAGGGACCTAGGACCCCTGGCTCTGCAAAATCCTGCGTGATCCTGCAGGATCCTCCTCCCCCTCCTCCTCCGCCTCCGCCTCCGCCTCCGCCTCCGCCTCCGCCTCCGCCTCCGCCTCCTCCTCCTCCTCCTCCTCCTCCGCCTCCTCCTCCGCCTCCTCCTTTGAAAAATCTCCCATCAGCGTCGCGCGATTCGCTGTCAGTTTCGCGTCCTTGGGGTGGCCCAGCGATGTGGAAGTCGACCAAGAGCACAACGTCCCGCCTGACGCCCTCGGGCATCTTCTGGTCCGGGTCCATCCACATCTGGGCCAGTCAGGCCTTGCAGAGTCCTGAAAGATCATGCAAGATCCTACCGGCTCCTGCACCCAAACCTGGGGGCAGAGCACCCCTGGCTCTGCAGGATCCTGCAGGATCCTGCAGGATCCGGGGTTCTGACTGGCCCCCGTTTGCATTCACCCCCGTCCCTTGAGCCCCGCCGCCACCCCCCCCCCCCACCCCAGCTCGTCATCGGCCACTGGCCCATCATATTCTTACAGCAGGGGCTCGAGAAACCTTCCCACAAGAAACCCAACCCTGAGACCCCAGGAGGTCCGCTGATGTTTGCTGTGGGAACGTCACGCTTTTACCCTTCGAAACCAAGGAAACCCAGGGCACCCTGGAGCCAGGCAGGGTGTTTCCTTGGCATGGGTCTCCACTGTATCCCCTCAACTAATGACTACCCCTGCCCTTGCCCCGAGGGGCAGCCGTTGAGAGCGAGCCAAGGACGCCTGGGTGCTCCTAAAGAACCAGTGCTTGCCCTTGTCCCTGCTCCTCCTCCCTCCTCCCTCCCTCCCTCCCTCCTCCCTCCTCCCTCCCTCCTCCCTCCCTCCTCCCTCCCTCCTCCCTCCCTCTGGGGCTTTTTTTTATCTGCTAGCGAATGGACTGGCACTGGCGTGCCGCCACGTCTTGCATGCCGCGGGATCCTGCGCACGGGCCTCGCCCGAGGTGTGCGGCAGGACGCGCCGCAGCGCGCGGCCCAGTCGCCCTTCACCCGTGGGGTCCCGCCGGCGGGCTGCGCACGATGCGCCCCCGGGTGCCGGGTGCCTCGGGGCCACGCCCTTGTGGTCCCGCTCATGGGTTGCGTCTACACTCCAGGCGATGCTTAAGAAAACCCAAGTTTTCGGCCAGAGTCTCGACTATTCTTAATGTTTCGATGTAAAACCTAACATTTGAATAGACATTCTGGGTTTGATTTCAAATTCTGAGACTATGAATTTCTTAACCCATGATTTCTAAAGCATTTCGCAGGGTGTACGGTCGGATCTAGGACGGAAGAACATCCCTCAAGAGCATGAGACCCTCCGCCGGCCAAACCACGCAGAATATCCAAGGGCACCCTCCCCAGGATGCACGAGGACATCCAACAAGCACGGAGAGCATGATGGTCCCCTCCCCGAACCGACCTCAACCTTCTGCTTCGGTCCGACCGTATTGCTCTGCCCTGATTTACTTTGCACTGCGTGGCCAAGCTACGCACCGCACCACATCGATGCCACTGGCTCACACATTAATGGGCCTATTTCCCACCGCGACTACCATAGGTAAGACGGGGGAGAAGGGAGGATGGGGAGGTCCTCCTCGTCCTCCTCGTCCTCCTCCTCCTCCTCCTCCTCCTCCTCCTCCTCCTCCTCATCATCATCATCATCATCATCATCATCATCATCATCATCATCATCATCATCATCATCATCATCATCAGCATCATCATCATCATCATCATCATCATCATCATCATCATCATCATCATCATCATCATCATCATCATCATCATCATCATCATCATCATCATCATCTTCAACAGCAGCAGCGCATCATCATCATCATCATCATCATCATCATCAGCATCATCATCATCAGCATCATCATCAGCATCATCATCCTCCTATTCCATTTCTTTCATTATGAATAATTTCTCCCTGTCGCACTACGAGGCCAGTTTGAATGGCGGGCCGGACGTTTCGCCTGAGACTTCCTCACCACGTATGACCCTGAAGTTTCAAGAATGGCAACAGTATCACAGATGGAGGGCGGGTGGTTTTCAAAATGTTGCTCTCGCCTTAGCGCCGCGCACACTCACATTAAACATTTGCAAGAGTTGCACGGATTGAGGGCGGGTCGTTTCCAAAATGTGGTTCTTGCCTTAGCGACGCGCACATTCGTTTTGGGAATTTGCCAGAGCTTCACGGATTGAGGGCGGGTCGTCTTCAACACGTGGCTCTCGCACTAGCGCCGCGCACATTCGTCGTAAAATGATGCAAGAATTTCACACTTAGAGGGCGGCTCGTTTTTGTTAACGGCTCTCGTCTTAGCGCCACACACACTCGTTTTTTTTAAACTCGCACGAGCATCACGGATTGAAGGCGGCTCTTTTTTCAAAATGTGGTTCACGCCTTAGCGCCGCGAACATCAGTCGTGAAAAGTTGCAAGCGTTTCACGGATTCCCATTATCATCGTACCAGAAATTATGTTTTTTGGAAGGGGTCAGGATTTCGCGGGCGCAACAATTATGTTGATTCGCGGTGCTGAAGTCCCAAAAATGGCGTTCTGGCACGATTCCAGGTCGTCAGGACGCAGCAGTCAGGTTGATCCGTGGCGTGGAAATCCCGAGAACAATGTGTTGGCATACTGCAAGGTTTTCAAACGGTTGTTTTCCAACGAAGCAATTCCCTCAATGGACATGAACCGTTGTAGGGGCCTGCGAAGAGGGAGCTTGGAGGGCGGGTTCATTCCAATATCGTTGATGGCTCTTGGGTTTACACTGGTCCTCCTCCTCCGCCACCTCCGCCTCCTCCTCCTCCTCCTCACCTGCTCCTCCTCCTCCTCCTCCTGCTCCTCCTCCTCCTCCTCATCATCATCATCCTCCTCCTCCTCCTCCCCCCCTCTCGTCCGTAGCCATTTTGGCTCAAGCCGTTCTGGCTGAGGCGTTTCGCCTGTGCTTGCAACAGCGTATCCTCAGAACGGCACACAGCTGTTGCGGGCTGAATTGGCTCGTATTCCATTTCTACAGCTCGCGGGATCTCAACCCGCACGCTTTCCATTTGTGAGCTCCTGCAGGAGCAGGTCTTCGCGACGTCCCTATCGGCGGCATGGCGGGAGGCTCTGCTGACGGAGGCGGTAAAGGGCGCGTGGCGTGGGCGCCATGGCACTCGAAGTGGTCCAGTCCGCCCCCCTCTGGCAGTCTCCAGGGCGGAACGAATGGGGTTGGAGCTGTCCGTGTGCCGAGGCGCCGCGACCACACCCAGTGGCCGCCGCTGGTGCCAGGCCTCCAACGTCCGCATGCTGCTCATGTGGATGCTGGTCATGGCCGCGCCCCTGACAAGCGGTGGACCTGCTGGCGAGCTTATGTGGGCCAACTCAACGGGCTCAAAACAGCCTCGAACCCCCGACATCGAGGCGCCGTCATGGTTATTCTCCCCCCGTTTCCGAAGCCCTCGTTCCCAGAACCCGCGCGTCTTGTCAGTCGCCCGTTCAAAGTGCTACGTGAGCGAACACTTCAGTATCGCCATCGGCTGAAACTCGGCGTACCACATCTGCACGCGCACGGATCCTCCTGACTCGGCAGCGCACCGCCAATGCACGCGCGGTTGACCTCCTGCATCCGCGTGCCCAGTCTGCGTGGCACTCCACACCACGACCCCACTGCGTACAGCTGCTTGCCGATCCATGCGTACAGTCGGGGCGTTGACCTAAGGAACGATGAATAAGGAACGAGGCCCCTTTCTCCCATGTATTCAACTCCGATTTTCCATGGAAGAACTCAGGAAAACCCAAGGAGCACTGTAAAGCAACTAAGGAACACGGAGCCCCTCCCCAACAAAAAGGGTTCCTTCTTCAGGGCCCCGACTGTATGATCCTGGTACTTTGCCGTGGCCATGCTATGTCAGGCCGCCGCCTCATGATTTCTACGAACACTTCTGGACCTCTGAACTGGAGCACACAGCACGCCCTCGATGCCGAATTACCTCCCCATCATACAAAGAATCGACCATCCTGTCATTATGTCGCAGGCAGTTGTACGTGAGGCAATGCCGAGAATTTACACTAAGGCACTCACTCGCACGACTGCAAGATAAAGACGACCGTGTACCCCTGGAAGCTTGAGCCTGCTGCAACTATCAAGAGCGCGTGCACGATATATGGGTACATGGGCAGCAAGCGCACGTGATCTGGCACGCCACAGATGCCCTCCACTCACGGACAAGCTGATTAGCTGGTCCCATGAGGACATAAGGACATACTGCATGACACACACACACACACACACATGCGGATTAGGAGTAAGTATTCACTGGCAAACCTGGCGCGAGGCGCCCTGGAAGGTCCGAGAGCAAGAAAAAGACCGCCGAGCAGCGAGGATCCGTTGTGAACCGTCTTCGATGCTGGGCCCCTTGTCGGACACTCGCCGGTAACGCCAGAATGCCGCAGCACCCTCGGATGTGTACCAAGATGATGCCCAGATCGCTATGAAGAAGCACATGTTACACCCAGTCCCTCCTGAAAAGGCGCCCAAAAATGCCATACATGACACAACGGCACGTGCATAGGCATCATCAGACGAAGAACATCACATCACGAATGCGCCCTTTTCCTTATCCTCCCCGCGGCCGCCCCGTCCTCATATTCCGCTTCGCCCTCTGTGCGCAATTAGTCGTGGATCTACCGACCCGGGTCAATCCAGACCAGGGTCAGTCAGGCTTCGCAAGATCCGGCAAAATCCTTCAGGATCCTGCACCCAAACCCAGGTCAGTGCACACCTGGCCCCACAGGATCCTGCAAGATCCAGCGCTCTGGCTGCCCCCGCCTGCATTGACCCCCGTCTATTTGTTTCCTCTCATGACGCTTCCCTCCGCGAGTCGCCAACTCAAGTAACAGAATTACCTCGTGTTACTATAATGCGTTGGTGTTAAGTCGGGCCTGTCCCCCTACAGGGTGATTTTGGCGAAAAATTACAAATACCCAAAAAAAAAACTCCAAAAATACTCAAAAATGTTCGAGAAATCGTCCCCATACTATTTTCTGATTATGTTACATACTCCTCCTGCGGAGGGACACGCCCGGCTGAACACTAGTGCCTCGCTCACCCACTGGACCGCCCGTCGCATTGCAACAACTTCTGCGCGGCACTCGGGGGCGGCCAAGAGGGGGGTGTCCAAGAGGGGGGGTGCAAATTATGGCCGGCGGCATGTGCGCGGCCCAGCGGGGGGGCCAGGGACGTAATGAAATAAGAAGAGGCGCCATGAGATCTGGGGAAATATCATGGCCCCCGCCATGATATCCACCCCCCCCTGGTCATCACCCCCCTCTTTGCCGCCCCCGAGACACCCGCCTCGTCAACCCCGAATGAGCCCTTGCTTCCGTGGCCCGGTGGCCAACTTGACCGCCACGCGACTGCCCCCGCGGCCGCAGACCCGAACAAGAATAGCTGGGCATCATGCTGAGCAATGCCTTACACTTATGTCGGGCGTGTCCCCCTGCAGGGGGATTTTCAACGAAAAATTAAAAATACCCAAAAAATATTCCAAAAATGCTAAAAAAATACGAAAAACATAGTCCCCAGACTATGTTTGGACTATTGTTTGGCTATTTTGGGGGTATGTTTTGATTTTGCGTCCAACATCCCCCTGTGGGGGGACGGGCCCGACTTAAGAATAGCTGGGCATCATGCTGCGCAATGCCTTACGCTCGCCATCGCTCAGACGCCCACCCCCAGCGCATTGCTGGATTTCGTGCGCTTCGTGGGCCCCAGCAACGGCCATGCCGTTTCTTCACCGCTTCCGAAAAAAGGGTCTCTTGAAAATGGAAGCGGTCCAAAAACGGCGACGGGAAACCGCAAAGGAACGGCTCCCTGATCGGAGCCGGAGCCAGAACCGGTAACAAAAACGGCGACGGAACTGGAATCGGCAAAATAGCGGTCAAAGGGAACCTGTAAAAAAACGGCCCTGTCGTTTCCAGGGCCCACTAAGTTCTTGCGTGTAATTTTCGCACGATGATCCAAGATGCTCATCGAAGATCCTCGCCGAGAGAAAATGCGCACGTCCGAGCGATGCCGAGTATACGCCCTCCACGATTGCTGTGTGCAGGTGGCTCTCGGGGAGCCGTCAGCCGACCCGGGATTGCTCCAGAGGGACACCCAGAGACCTTAAAACGAGTCCAAGAGAAACTCCAGACAACAATAGCTGGCCTTCAGTCGGGCCTGTCCCTCTACAGGAGGAAAATTAAAAAAATAATCGACAAAAATAGTCTGGGGACGATGTTTCTAATATTTCTTCACTATTTGGGGGCATTTCGGGGGTATGTTTTATTTTTCGTGCAAAATCCGCCTGTAGGGGGACATGCCCAAACTAAAGCTGGCCCAAACGGCCCAAGATGACCCTGAAAGGCCACCAGACAAACCAACGACGGCCCCAAGGAAGCCCAGGGACGGCCAAGGAGAAGTCCCTTCCGCAGCTCGGGATAGGGTAACGGTGCCTCCCAACCTGGCTCTAAAGGGCAAGACACCACGCGTAGCCCTCCAAGAACCCCCTCACAGGCCGAACACAATCAGTTACACAGGGAACGATTTCGACCCGCACAAGACGCCTGGCAGGATTGAAGGTGGCGAGTCCTCGTCTGCACCCCCGTGGATTCGCTGAACTCCCAAGAGGGCTCGGAGAGTGGCGACCTGCAGGGAACACACAGGGAGGCGAGGTGCTGCTCGGGCGCCTGCACGCGGGCGCTCTGCTGGACCCCCAGGGGCCCAGGAAGCGTCGACAACTGTACACGTCGTTTATTTTTAATCGTGCATATTTCCAATTGTGCTCGTTTCTGATTGTTCCTGGCCCCCTAGTGGCCAGGAAGAGGCCCAGGATAGAACAATTAGAAATGAAAGGGTCTTGGCCCCCCAAAAAAATCGAAGAACTCTCGAAGACCTAGAGATGAACAACGTGTACGTCTGGCAGTACACCAGGAGACTGCGAGGTCGTGGTTGGATGCATATACGTCGGTGCACCGCTGGACCCACCAGGTGCGCCGGAGATGATGGCTGCACGTGTGCAAGCGTGGCATGACACAGAGAGGCGAGGTCCTTATTGGACGTCCACATGTCGGCGCTCCACCGGACACCCCAGGGGCCCATGCGGTGGCAACAGTTGCCCAGCTGGCAGCAACAAGGGAAGGCCAGCACGAGCGAGCAGAAAAAGCGCTGACAAAATAAGACGAGAACGAGGACGACGGCAAGGCAAAAAGTGGGACAAGCCAAAAAGTGGGACATGAGGAGAGCGACAACTCCAGATCCGTTCACAGCTAGGACAGCACCAAAGGCGACCAGGGCAGAAAACTGTCCTCGGATGACCACGAGGAAAACTCACCACCGTGCCTCTGGCACGAAGTAGGAGTCCCCCAAGGCTCACAGCTGTGCTGCTGCTGGTGCTGCAGCCAAGATTGTAGCTTGGGCCCGGAACCATCAATGTCCAGGGCGCTCTCGGGCTCTCGGGCGCTCTTGGGCGCTCCTGGGGCGTTCCGCAGGGGCCTTCTGGACGGCTGCAACGCCCCGAACGACGCGGAGAACGTCGCGGAGCACCCAACCAAGCAGCCAAGACGGTCAAGGAGTACCTCTGGACAGCCAAAGAGACCTCCAAGACGCTCCCAGAGGCCCCCAAGAGGGCCCAAATGCAAACATCACTCCATTCCCCTAGGAAAACGTATAACGTTGGCATATTCGCCTCTTGGGCTTTCATAACGTCCGAGACGGCCCCAAAGGCCCCCAAGATCGCCCCAAGACGGCCCAAGAGGCCCCGAAGAGGGCTCCGAGACCGCCCAAGAGGGCCCCAAGACGGCCCCAGGACAGCCCAAAGAGGAGGCCCACAGGGGGAACCCGAACGGACATTTCGAGCCTTCGGCCCCAAAACACCCCAAGAGGCCCCAAGAAGCCCCCAAGAGGCCCCAAGAAGCCCCCAAGAGGCCCCAAGAGGGCCCCAAGAGATCCCAAGAGGGCCCCAAGAGATCTCAAGCGGGCCCCAAGAGGCTCCCAAGAAACCCAATAACTGCTTCCCAAACTGGCCCCCGAGAGCGATCCGAAGAGACCCCAAGAAGCATCCCTGAGGACTCTGACCCTCAAGCCAGGCACAATGGCGGGATGGGCGGAATGCACACTTCTTTGTTAAGGGGAGCTAGCAGAAAGCCTCAAGGTAGAAACGGTCTGGAGTACCTCGTACCCCAGGAGCAAGATGCACCCCAGGCGACCGGACACAGCCCCAAAACAAACGTCGACGCACCCTGCCTCCTTCGAACAAGCTTGGCACTGCGCCTGCCAATCTGATGCAGCGCGGAGCGCCGAACAGACTAAAAGCGCAAGCAACACGACCCATCAGACGCCACAAGCACTGATCCTGGACCCAGGAGACGAGGACTGCGCACGTCCGCCCGCCCCGATGCTGTGTGAAGTTGACTGCTGGACTGCTGCTCTGCTGGTGCCTTCTGGATTCTTTCTCTCTCTCTCTCTCTCTCTCTCCCTTTCTCTCTCTCTCTCTCTCTCTCTATCGTCCTCCCCTGTTTCTACAGTCTACCACGGGGGTCCCACGGTCTCAGACCAAAAACACGCAAGGGGTGTCAGGAGTGGAGCTCTGGCAACACGAAGGCCGCCTGCCGCGAGCGTCGAGCGGCAAGCCCAATGCTTATCAGCTTGGCTTCCTTGCGCAGTGCCCCCCACCGCATCGAGCCCAACATGTGCCCACCACTTGCTCCGAGTCCTTGCGTCGTTGGCGCTCAGAACGAATATCGCGCCAAAGACAGAGCGGCGGGTCGGGCGTTCCATGGAACCTCCTCCACAAGCACTGCAATTGGATAGCTCTAGCCTTATCAGGACTCATGCGACGGACATAGGACCAGGGCGTTTAGTGAAGGAGCTGCTGGGCACACAGGTACAACCCTCTAGACAGGCCTGGTAGCGGAGAAGAACACCAACGGGGCGATGCTGAAAACACACATAAGTTGTGTATGATTGCTGCCCGGTTGAAAACCTTCGCTTGTGTACTGTGATGCCGAGGTTGTCATGCTACGGCAGTTGGCCTTGAGCACTCGGACAGACATGCGAGTTGTCGGCAAGGAACCCCAACCACCCTAGAGAGAGCTTCACAT